TGTTGATCAGTGACTTCTTCAGAAGTGATTTCAGAGACTCAGAGACCTGTTTAAATGACAGAAATTCTTGCTTATGCATAGACATTTGAATCTATTCAGTTCATAGCATCTGCATCATTGCTATTCTTCAGTGCAGGTGTATGAGTCACTGAGATGTAACATCTTCTGCCACTGTTCTGTATACTCTTGAGCTTGATAAGACAGTCATTCAATGTCTGAAGCTGTGTGTAGAAGTCTTCATAAGTCTGGTCTTCATCTACACTTATAAGAGCCTGTAAGAGTTCAAAAGTCAATATCTTCTTGAGCATGCTAATCTTTATTTGATTATCTCAAGATTGATTATCTGCTTCTAGAATCTTGATGTTGAAGTCAGAAATAAATGTTGTAAGAGAAGTGTTTCTCTGTCAGATACTCTGTAATCAATTTAACACTTTCTGTTGCATGGCAGTGTCTCAGAACAGAATATCAAGATATCTGATAATATTATCAGGTGTTCATAACACTGGTTCACATGCTTTCATTCATGAATGAAACTTCTGTTTCATGCAATCTTTCAATCATTCATTGATATATCAATCTTGATTAATTAATGAACTGATGACATCTTCATCTACACTCAGTTTCACAAGCATTTCCATTCTTCATGATGAGTAGAGAGTGAGATTGAAAGCATTGAAATATGCAAGAGCATCTAAGCATTTCTTCAGCACTTTTGGATTTGATTCTGTAGGTGTTAAAATTGCATGAGTTAATCATTGAATCTCTTCATATTGAAGTTATTGAGTTACATGCATATCAGCTATTTATTATTATTGTAATTTCAACATTGCTCAGAGTCATTGTGACATCATGTCTATGCTCACATTCAAGAGTTTCATATTATCATTAGACATGATTATATCAATCATCAGATGTGTAATTATATGAATATCTCATACATCTGAAGATCAGAACTCTTAGGTCTTTCACTGATATTCTCTTTGTAAGATCTTATTGCAGGGTCAGAGTGACTGATAAGTAAGCTTCTATCTGAGAACTCAGTGTCTACTTTAACTGATTGTTTCTCTTTTCTTATATGTTGTTATATGTTCAGATATCTCTCAATGAATAATCATTTCTAATGAGAAGATAATGCATGAATAATTGTTTTCTAATAAGAAGATAATGAACATTTTTCTAGTGTAAGAGGTCTACACTGAATAAATCAGTATGATATTGATAGGTCTTATATAACAAAGAGAAAAACATTAGAGAAGAAAAAGAAAGAGAAAGTGTGAGAATCAGTGATCAAAGTGAATATTTATACATGTATGTGATAATGTATGCAGTGGAGCTTCAGAGCGGAAGAATCTATACATGTTTATAGCAGCTGAGGATCAGCAATTAAGAATGGCTGAGAATCGGAGTGTACATGTTCAAGAATGAAGTGATATGCATTTGAGAATGAAGCAGTATGAATCTGTGAAGTGTAACGGAATAGTCTATATGATTGATCAGGCGCAGCCCGCCACAGAGATTGACATAAGGTTAAGCAGCTCTGTGACTGTAATAACTGTCTCATCTTACATCTTTTTCAGAGCTGAAGAGTCTATTAATAGTGATCAGAACTTCTCAATAATTAAATCAATCAATCATTTGAATACTTTCTCTTACTGTGAAGTATGAGAGAGAGTCAGCTCTCATTTTATATCTTCACTGAGTATATATACCATAGCTGCATTCAAATTCAATTCTTCACAGTCTGAGTGAATGATTGCAATATCACATTTCAGCAGATTCTTGATGAATTGATTGAAGATCTGTAGATATCTCAATGTCTCATCCTTGCATTTCAATAGAAATATTCACCTCATTCAGATAACATCATCTGTAATCATCATTGCAAGCTTCTTGTCAGTGTAAGATGATATATCATTCTCAGTTTCAAGAGTCTCATCATCATCAAATATATTCACTCAAATCTTCAAGGCCTTGCGAGTGGCATGACATGATGTGAAATTCTTGTAGAATGCACATTTCTGCTTAGCCTTAACACATGTGAAACAGAATGATAATTTCTTCAGACTGATAATAATAATATCAAATCATGAGTCTCTGATCATTTTTAATATACTATTTTCACTTATATGATCAAGTTGATGATGTCATTCATCTATCAGAAGCAGTTTTGAAAGAACTGTAGATAATTGAGATGAAGATGAGATAACAAAGAAATCAGTATCTGAATTCTTAGAATTGATTAACTGTTCAATCTTCTCATAGCTGAAAGATCTCAAAGACTCTGCATTCAGATCATAATCTGTTGAGATTGTCTTTGATTTCAGAACAGTCACATATGTCACTACTTTATACATTGAGTCATTCATTATCTCATGAAATGTCAGTGAGCTGTTGAATAGAATGTAAATATTATTGTAGAACAGATTGGCATAGAAGATATCACTATTAATAGATGATAGAAACTCAAAGTAGTTTTCAGTATTAACTTGTATATCACAGTGAATATAGCTCTGACATTTCATAAGCTCAGCAGAGATCAGATTTGTAGATAGTTCTGACATGTAGTATACATAATTAAATTCTATCAATCTTTCACTCACTGAGATGAACACAGTGCTGACACTCTGAACCTTCAGAATAGTCTTATTGATCACTTAAACTGTTGAATTATTGATTGCTATAAGTTCTGAAAATCATGATCTATCACTCACTATGTAGCATTCAGTGCTACTATCTTATATAGTGAGAGAATCCTTGTGAAGTTTCATAAAACAGGCTGATACATTGATAATCTCTGCAAGGTTTGTCATCTGATAGGTCTCTGATTCATCTATAATAAATAGTTAAGTTCTATTCTTACTATTGTTCTTTTTCTTCTTTTTCTTGAATTTCTTTATTCTCACAGCATTGTTTATTCTTCAATTATTCAGAGCACTGTCTGAATTGATCAATTAACAGATGTCAAAGTGAGATCTCTCACATTCAGAACATGTTGATGAATTTCTCAATCTCTGATGATTTCAGAAGCTCTCTTAAGTACTATCACAATCATGTTCAGTACAGTCTTCACAGGCTGAATTCAATGTATTGTTGTTAGAATTGATAGATATAGTAATTATTGTAGCAGTAGTTATTGTAGCAGAGTTAACTGCAGAATCTGTATTCTGTAGATTCTTTTTATCTTTTAAAGAATTAAGCTGTGAACAGATCTTTTTCATGAGAAGATCAATATTTAATATCACAACTGTGAATTTGAAATTCTGTATCTTCTCTATCTTCTTCTGAACATAATTTCTTCAATTGTTGAGTAGAACTGAGTAAAAGATATTAAATATTCATACATCTGAGAGAGAAGTATTCATCATCTTCAATTTTATAATAATGAACTGAAACTTATTAAAGAATGTATGTAGATTAATGATCTGTGTATTATCAAGAAACATGAATTTCAGAACTGTCTCATAATATAACTGTGTTTTAAAAACAGAGTATTTCTGTTCAATCACATTTCATAGAGTATAAGTAATCTGATTTTCATTATATTTGAAGAAACATGGTCTGACACCTGCACTCAATGAGTTCAAGATGAATATGTAAAGTTATCAGTTTCTGATATTTTAGAATAGTACTCATTCATCATCTCTTTATAGAGAGTTCTGAGTCTGTTGTTTCTCTATCATATATTAACACTATGTATCAACCAGTTTCAATTTCATGAAGATACTTCATGTGATGTAATTAAATATGTTAGTTAGACTGTTTAATCTCACAGTATTCTTGACATCTTTCTTAAATTGAGAGATTGTCTTATCAACACAGCTATTCAGTTTACAAAGATTGAATTTCAACCTTTCACTGAGATTAGAATCTCATGTGACTGTACAGACTGTTAAGATAATGACAGAATAATTATTAACATTCTGTGATTAATCTGTGAAGATTGAGAATCTCTGTTAACAGAGTTTTTTCAGTTATAGTTCAAGTTCTAGAACTCTTCACTTCTTCTTCTTCATTTTAAATATTATCTTAAGATACTTTATCTGTTGATCTGATCTTATCTCATCTGAACTGTTAACTTCATAAGAATTAGCTTTATTAAGCTATTAAGTAGATCAGAGAGCCGGCCTGATTATGTCAAAAGCTGTATTCAAATCAGCTTCAAATTGAGAGAGTGTTTCAGAGTGTTTATTAATGAAGCTTTCAAATACTTTAGAAGAATGTTCACTGATAGAGTAAGAGTGTAAAGAATTATCATCATCAACTGTAACTAACTCAGTGAAAAGAATACAAGATTGTAAATATGTATATAAGTGAGATTGTATTGAATTCATTATCTTAATATTTATTTATTGAATTCTTGTCAATATTATTCTCTTTTTCTTGCTTTTTTTTTACAATGTGATGCATTTTCTGCAAGCCTCTTTTTTTTTAAGTGAGCAGTAGTATTATTGATCAATAAGATCTCAATACTGATAGAATAAAACAATTTTAACTTCTGATAAGTGTATCAAATGAAGCAGTAGTTAAATAATGATTATATTGACAAGGAATTCTGAATTGGCAGTGATTTTGCACAAAACAGGTCTCATAACCTGTGAAAGGTGTAAAGCTTGTGTGATTGAAAGGTTGCTAGCTTGTGGAAAGTTATATGGTGGAAGGATTAGTAAGCCAGATCACGTGATCTGACAGTTCTCGCACGTCGTTCGGGACGGAGGGGGGCAAATATTTGCTGGGAAGTTCATCACTTTACTGTCGATGACGCTATAAATGTATACATGAGACATGTCAGGTGACTTTTGGTTCTGCCTGGCTTGAAAAGATATGACACCGCGCTTGAGGATCCTCTGCACTGACGTTACATGTAGCTTGGTGTTAGGTTACATTTTCCAGCGTCAATACCAGAAATACATCTAGTGCCGTGGGGTCAACGTCGCGGGGTCACGTGCTCGAAGCTAGATGACACGAGGCAAGCGAGAATGCAAGGATGAGAAGGCGGGGCAGTTGAGAGAAGTTGGCGTTTGGGAGATGCAACGAGAACGACGCAGGAATATATATTTATATACGGATAGAAACTTTCGACTCTCCATACCAACCGTGACCTACCAGAGACAGCTTTCGAAGCAAATTCACTCTGATGGATTTCCCAGTCTTTGCGACAATGACCGATAAAACGTCTATCTTTGATCACTTGGGTGACAGGTGGAGGCAGCCTGTGACCAAGGATGTGCGACCAATTTCGAGCGTCATCCTAGATTTGCAGGTGATAGAATATTTATTACAGGATGTCCGTGACTTCCTTGACCTGAATGCTTGAGAACAGTATCGTGACATTCCATACTGACGAAGCTATCTGTTTCATGGGGCTCTGGGAATGGGAAAGACAAGCTTGACCTTGTCCATCGCAGGGTGTTTTGGTTTGAATATATACACAATCAACCTTTCCAGCATCGATGACAACGGCCTGAGGAACTTGTTCGCCAACCTTCCTGGCCACTGTGTTATTCTTTTGAAAGATGTGGAGGTCGTCAATTCAAGCTCGCCTGAGGGAATGGCTTCTCTGACAACACTACTCGATGTTGTCGACGGTGTAGGAGATGGCTAAGTGTTAATCATGACAACCTGTCATGTCAAACTAGTCAACAGCGCACTTTTGCGAGCCGGTCACATGGATGTGAAAACCGAGTTCCACCTCGCAGATAAAGAAACAATAGCCCGGCTCTTCTGGTTTGCCTTTGAACAGGAGGCAGTCGACCCACTAGCACATGAGTTTGCTGGTAAGGTACCGGAGCTGGAATTCAGCCCTGCTGAAATTCTGTCATTCCTGATAGAGAACAGGCGGTCTCCTAAACAGGCTGTTGATAACGTAGCGGCATGGATGGCGGATATGAGGAGCAAAAGGAAGAAGGGTGGAGTTTAAAAAGGCTGGTCCTCCCGCCACACACTTCGACCACCTGAAGAAGCTGTTCCTTCAACGAGACAGTAACTTTAAATGCTAGTCTCCTTGAGTTTATGGCATCGGCCGGTTCAATGGGGTCCCAGAAACTGGCGAGCGGTAGTTACATTTTGCATGTTAGGATGACGCGGACCTCGAATATGTATCTACCACTAAATACCATACCTCTATTTTTAACACTTCTTTGTAGGACTTCAAGTTGCGTTTGCAGACGTGATACGACATCGAGTAGGTTTGGGAAAGCGATTTTGGATCCATCAAGGTTCTAGGCGTCTTGAATAATCTCCTCACCATTCAGTACAAGGGTCTGTAACACGGCAGTGGACATTCTGGAAGGATGGAGAATATTGTTTGGGGGTCTTACAGAGGGCAAACAAAATGGTGTACTTGGGGGGTCGAGATAGGTTAAAACTACTTGGTGCGATAATGAGATCCCGCTTCGCGGGGGCCTTCAACCTTTCGAAAGCCCTTGAGAATTTCCAAGCCTTCAATACACACAGAACAGTTGGCTAAGGAATTGTACGGTAGATCTCAATCAGGTAAGGAATAGTGATTAATATTAAGTAAGAGGTTGGTTCTAGTAACGAGAAGAAAGAGAGGAAGAAAGGAGGAAACTAGCTCGGAGAATCTCGTCCCCAACACAAGTGAGGAGAAAGGGAAGATGGAGCGATATAAGCAAAGCTAGGAGGAGCACTAGCTTCATATGCCTTCAGCCCCCTTAATAATCATCCTTCAAGACAGACGGAGAGCGAATGTGAAAGACCGCATCGTCTACAAGATTCATTAGATGAGCTAGGGACAATTTCATTGATCAGATGAGGGTGTATTGAGCAAGTTCGGAGAAACGGTAACCTACGAACAGAGGAGAGATTCATATGACATCTACAGTACGCCCTCCACACTTCCCGTCGATGTATGGCTAGTGATGTTTACAAAATTTGACTAACTTCCATCAATTATTGAACTACGACAGAAAAATCAAACAAGGCGGATCTTGCACTGGATAGAACGCGACTCATCGAGATTCAGCGTTAAAACAAGCAGCGTTGCCATACAATTACTGACCGAAAAACATGAAGAAGTAAGAAGGAAAGAAGAAAGGAAGGAAAGAAAGAAAGAAAGAACAAAGCGCGCGCATTAGTCCCAGGAGGAGGACTGCCTGACAGACGACCTCCACAAACAAAAGAGCCGGGGAAGAGGTTTAGAAATCCGTCCCAGTCCATCTGCCAAGAAGGTAAACTCCGAAATAACATCTCGTCAAACAAAACGCTAGAGTGCCTCCAGATTGATCATCCACATCAAACATTCCACTACAAAACATAAAACTGAGACGCAAGAACATGTTGGGTCGGCCAGACTTCCACAGTGGATCATGTGTTGTGCACTTGAGTGCTCTCTGTAAGGTTCTTGAAAGAGTCTGTGGGATTGATAATTGCATGTGCCCTGGTGTAATTCTTCACCTTTCCTCTTTCTTTGCTGGTTTTGGCAATCCAATTCTCCACATCAGCCACTGCGTCGGTAGGCAACTGCTTGTGTTCAAGCAGGAACAATAGCAGGATCTCAGCTGGGCTGAATACCTGATCTGAAACCTTGACAGCAAACTCATCTGCAAGTCACTCAATTGTTTCAATATTGAACTTCTTTTCTGTAGTGCGCTGATCCTCATCTGACCACTTGAAAATCATGCAGAAAAGATGAGAACTCATTTTGTGATCAGCAAGCTGAAATAAAACCTGTCTATTCACACAGCCAGAGCAGATGAGTGTGTCATTCAAACACTCAATGTGATTTATCATTATAATCAGCAATTGACCTTTCTATGAAGACACATCATTCAGAGCATTAAGAAGTATGAGCAGAGATACATTTCTCTGAGACTTACTCTTCTGTGAAGAGTCTACTGCAGTCTGACCAGTGTTTTTCATTGTTTCACTGTCTTCTGTTCATACAGTACTAGCAGCATTGATATCTTCTAAGAGAATGACACAATGCAGGAGAAGCTGGATAAATAAACTGCTTAGACAGCTGTTATTGATGCTTGAAAGATTGAGTACATAGATATCTAGCTCAAAATACCTGGTGACAGATAAGCTGAAACTGAACTTCTCAGTTTTAAAAGACTCATACAGCAGGAACTCTCTTTAATAGAGAATTCTATATCTTGTATATCAGCTCTGAGCTCACTTGTTCAGGAAATTCTTAATATCTTTCAACAGAGCTGTTTTCTCACTCTTATTTATAATAACTGTTGAGATTGATCTGATGTCTCTTGTCTTTGCCTTTCTTCATTCATTATTATAATGCTCAAAGACTGTAGTCTTTCTCTGAATAAGTTTAAGATACTCAGCTCAGCAATTACTAAGAAGTGCTCTCAGAATTTACAATAATCTGCTGATACAGAAAATGAAGATCTATTTCTTAATCTCTTTTATTATGCACTGAAACTGAAGCAGATGATTTCTATACATGAAGAAGAATAATTCATTTCAAGATAAAAAGTGCAAAGATTTTTTCTTATACTCATTTAAAAGATTATCAGTATATACTCTTCTTTGCATGCTGCTGATAATTGTATAACTAGCTACAGTCTCATCACTTATTGAAATATAGCATTTATCTGATTTCTTCATTTCTTCTCATTGTTTTCTTATAAATGTGAAAAGATCAGAATAAGTAAGATTATCTGATTTGTAAGTGTCTATGATTTCTCTTACTTCATGAGACTTTTCAATTATAAGTCTCTTCTTTTTTAACACTGATGATAGTGCTGTGAATAATTATAATTCACTTAGATCTTGCATCTTTATCTTTATAAGATATGAATTATTTATTAAGTTATATAAGACTTGTCTCTCTAGTTCTTTCAATACATATGTTCTCAGAGCATGTGATTTGAGTATTTTATATAACTTAAATCATCTAGATTGAAACTTCTCAGAATTCTCATTGTATATAAGAACTCACATTTTCATCTTGACACTCAATTGCTTAACTAGTGAGTCTTGTATTCTTTTCAATTGAATTGCTCAGTTCAGAAGTAACTTATTAACTTTTATACATGCATGACTGATCTCTTTCAATCTTGATTTCATATCTGCAACTGCTATATTCCAGCTATCTATTGCTGTTGTAATTTCAACATTGCTCAGAGTCACGGTGATATCACTTCTATACTCGCATTCACAAGAACCCGCCGATAGATCCATCGAAAAGCCCTCGATCATACGAGCATTTTGACCCCATCGCCGACCGCATACCCCGTGTGGTGGTGGAGTTATCCAGCCAAACGTGAACTGGACGTTGTTCGAAGCTCCTGTGTGGGATTATCCCCCGTTCTCCCCTACCACACCACAACCCCGGGCCAGAGTGCCATACAAATTGTAAGGTGAAGTGACCTAGCCATATGCACCAATCTTCTCGATTTTGGAAGATCCCCGACCTGTAGTTGTGGAGATATCCGAGGAGCGACCTCCGCGAAAACCCTGTCCATCTTTGATGTTCCAAAACACCAACGCCAAGTCTCACCCTCGTACCGCCCTTCCCAATCTGGCCCATCCCCGGCAGAAAAATACAAAAAGATACCTCGGCGATAATATCAAGCACATAATCAACGGACTCTTCTGAAGTGCAACCTCCACGGTCCGCCGCCAGTGTATCTAGACTTCAACACCAAGTCTCACCCCTGTACTACCCCTCTCAATCTGGCCCATCCCCAGCAGAACGATACAAAAAGATACCTCGGCAACAGCATTCAATACATAACCAGTGGACAACGAGTCAACAGCACACCAACAACTATAAAATCAGTATACCCCAAGGTCTGACTGAGCCTTTGATCCCTGCACAGTGAGATATATTAAATCTAGTTTTAATACCTCAATATTCAATAGATTCTGCAAGGGATTGAGAACAGCAACACTAGGTTTCTATTGAATTTGAGAATTAACTCTATATTGATATAATCATTGACAAAGTCTTCTATTTTGAGATATAAATAACCAGTTCCTCTACATCCCGCTGGCAATATTTATATTATCATATAGAAACAGACTTATATTCTCTATAATATCAAGACTCTGAAGAGGGAAAGTCTTGGTAGGGAATATACAGTAGTGCATATCTTAGCAGTTTCTATCTCATTCTTCTGCAGCAGTTAATGCAAAAAAAAAGATCTTAGAAATAGTTTTTTACTTCTCTTGAAAAAGTAAGGTGTTTTTCTCTGGGTTTTACACAATATTCTTACAAAGAATTAAAAGCAGAGTTGTTTTCTGTCATAATTTCATATTCTTTTAAGTAAGAATTACTTTTTCAGTGGCTGAAGAGCTTTCATTAATACTTAATTCTTTTTTACACTCTTTATTAACTGATTTGAGTTGCACACTTGTTGTGTGAGGAGAATTGAATGATTTAGAATAAAATTGAATAGTTTTAATCAATTTCTCTGCAAAAAATTGATTTATTTTTTGTCAGTTTTTCTCTCAAAAACTGTCATATTATCTGATTTATTATCAATTGATATCATACTTTTCCTCACTGTATCCCAAGAAAGAGATTGTAAAGATTTTATTGATTTATCTTAAAAATCAATTTTAGTTTATTAGATTCTCTTCAAAAATCTAACCTAGTTACTGAACTAGTGTGAAAAAAATCAGGTGTTTTATACACAAAAGTCTTTTATTCTTCTTTTGAAACAGTCTGACCAACTTTTCAATTGAAAACAGACTTAGAAATATCTCAATTGAAACAGTCTGACCAACTTTTTATTGAGTGAAAACAATGAGTTCAAAAATACACTCAGTTGATATGGAAAAAGATGCTCTCTCAAATGCTATTTCTGAGATTGAAATTCTGAAGAGAAGAAAGAAAGAAGAAATAGAGAAACAACAAGTTCTTGAAATACAGGAACTTGAAAAAGCAAGCAAGATTCTTGAAAAGCAGTGTCTGAGTGAGATGAATGAAGAAGTTCTGTTAATTCTTCATGCTCAGGCTAGACAACTACAGAAGGTGATCAAGTTCAAACTTGGAATCTCAAACACAGTTCAAAAAACCTTGAAAATTCCTAGTATAATCACTGACTCTTCATCTTGCTCTTCTTCTTTCTTTCTTTCTACTTCTTCTTCTTCTTTGAATCAGAAGAAAACATATGCTCAAGCAGCTGAATCTGCTGTCTCTAAATCTGCTGTCTCAAAACCTGCTCAAAATTCTGAGAAAACTGAGAAGAATACTGCTCATGCCTCTATTCATAGAAAAGTGAAAAAGAAAATGCAAAAAGAGAAAAACTTCCAAATCTTCAGAAATAGAAGACTTATTCTCAAAGTCTCAAATCAGGACATTCTGCAAAGAAACAAGCTAAACTCAAATCTCATTTTCAAAATCAGAAATGAAATTAATCAGTAGTTCTTTTCTCAGTTGATGACTGATATTGAAGTTTAAAAACCAGTTATAGCTTCAATTGAGTCATCATTCTTTGGAAACTCCATCATTCTGACTACAATG